CTGTCACTTGGTTGTTAGTGGTCTTAGGTAGGGCTTCTATTGCTGTGAAGAGACACCATGACCATGGCAACTCTTACAAAGGAAAACATCTAATTAGAGTAGCTTACATTTTCAGAGGTTTAGTCCATTATCATCAAGGTAGGACATGATGGCATGCAGGCAGACATGGTACTGGGGAGTTCTACATTTTAGTGTAGAATGATCTGAGTTCTACATCTTGATCCATAGGCAATAGGAAGTGAGTTTTGTACCACACCGAGTGTAGTTTGAAGCAAAGGCCTTAAAGCTCACTCCCAAAGTGATACAGTTCTTCCAACAAGGCCACACCTACCCCAACAAAGCCACACCTCCTAATAGTACTACTCCCTTTAGGGGCTATTTTCTTTCAAACCACCGCATTCCACTCCCTGCCCATTGTCTGTAACAGTCTCAAGCTTAAAGTTCAAGTAACTTCTGAGATTTGTGCAACCTCTTAACTATAATCCCCTATAAAATCAAAATCAAAAAGCAGATCACATGCTCCAACATATAATGGCACAGGATCATTCCAAAAGATAGGGAACAGAGCATAGTGAGGAAATACTGGATAAAAGCAAGACAAAAAAAAAAAAAAAACAGCTCTGCAAACTCCAAACTCTGCATCTTCATGTTTGATGTCAAAACTCTTATCAGATCTCCAACTCTTTTCATCTTTGTTGATTGGAACACAGTTCTTTCTCATGGGCTAGTTCTACTACCTTAGGAGCTCTCTTCAGCAGGTACCTCATGGCTCCAGCATCTCCAACATCTTGAGGTCTCTAAGGCAATCCAAGCTTCCTCTTTACAGCTTCACACAATGGCCTCTATAGGCTTCCATGCAGAGACACCCCTGACACATGTCTGGCCTGGGTGGCCTTCCTTAGTCATGGAGGAAGATTCCATAACCCTGTTCTTCTAATCTTGACTCTAAGATCAGAACCACGAGGTTGAAGCTGCTAAGTTCTGCGGCTTGCTGGACCTGGAATATGGTCCCCTAGTTCAATCACATCTTCACCAGTTTTCTGTTTTAATTGTTTCCTTTGCTGCCTAAGCTTGGCTATCCTGAAACTGGATCTGCAAACCAGGCTGGCCTCAAACTCAGAGATCCACCAGCCTCTGGTTTCTTAGTGCTGGGATTAAAGGCTTTAATTCCTTTTCATAAACTGAAAACTTGGCTAGGTGGAATCTTGCCCTAAGGTCACCATTCCCTTTAGTCAATTTCTTAGTCTGTTTATCTCCTTGAATACAGGACTTAGCCTCATCCCACTTCCTGGTGCTCTTTTATCTCCTCAAATTATACATTTTGAATTTTTCCTTAACTAGCTTGCTCCTTTTCATTATAAATCTCCATTAGAGTTACCACTAAAAACCATACAACAGAGTCTATACTAGGCTATTTTGAGATTTCTTCTACCAAAAGAATAAATCCAAAACTCATCACTTTAACATCAAGCAGTCTCTTTTGACAAGGATAAAATGTAGCTACTTTCTTCACCAAAATATCACAATAATGGTCTCTAGGCCACATACTAACATTCTTCTATTCTGAAATCTCTTGAGCCAGCCCCCCACAGTTCAAATCACCCTGAAAACCATATCTTCCACATTCCTACTAGTGTGGCCCATCAAGCAGCATGTAAACCTTTCAACTGTTTTTCTAATTCATAGCCACAAAGTCCACATTCCTCCAAACAAAAACATGGTCAGGCCAATCACAACAATACCCCAATCCCTGATACCAACTTCTGTCTTACTCAGGGTTTCTATTGTCATGAAGAGACATCATGACCACAGCAACTCGTATAAAGGAAAACATCAAATTGAGGTGACTTACAATTTCAGAGGTTTAGTCCATTATCATCATGGTAGGACATGGCAGTGTACAGGCAGACATGGTGCTGGAGAAGGAGCTAAGAGCTCTACATCTGGATCCACAGGCAACAGGAAGTGAACTGTATACCACACTGAGTGTAGCTTGAGCAAAAAGACCTCAAAGCCCACCCCCACAGTGACACACTTTCTCCAACAAGGCCACATCTACTCCAACAAAGCTACAGATAATAGTGCCACTCCTTTTGGGGACCATTTTCTTTCAATCCACCACATTAGTAATCACTCCAATCAGGCCTACAATGAAAAAGAGAAAGTAAGAGCAGAAAGAAGTACAGGATTTACCATTTGGAGAGAAAAAGGACACTGAGAAGCTTGGTGCTACAGTCAAGACTTGTGCTGGAAGAGAGGCTGCAATTGTTAATAGATTAGCACCATTACAGAAAGACCTGAGTTTTACTAGAACAAATGGAAGGGAGTATGCAGGGTAAGGTCCCATCCATTAAGCTACCAGCTTGTGAAATGGAAAGGCCTAAGGACTTCAATGTTCCTAAAAGGCAACAGCAAACAAAAGCTACAGGTTCCAAATCCCAAGCTGCCACCTAAACTTGGCAATGTTGTCCACACGGTTCTGGCTTTGGAATCATGAAGGATGTACAAGGAAAGGGGTCACTGAATCTTCCTCCAGTTTCAGAGAGCTTCAGGGGAGTCTGTGCCTGAAGGCCCTGGGGGGGGGGGCAAGAGGCTCTGATAGGCCATAGCATGAAGCTGTGCAAATGAAGCCGGGGTTGCAGCAGAGGCCCCACAATAGCTAGAACTGTGACTGGTGGAACCCCAGGTCCCAGGTGACGGCATCCACCTGCGCATGTATCTGTGGACACTGACCTGAACCTACCTAGGAATTGATTTTAATATTACTTTTCACACTCTTCCAGATTTTGTCTATATTTAACTTATGGTAGCTTTAGGCAAAAGTGTATCAATACATTTCTTTTTGAGAAAACTGGATTAAGGAGTTCTAATATACCAGATATTGAATACATAACAATTTTTAAATTCATGCTGACCTCTCAAGCAAGCAGAAACAATTTAGGGAAGAACAAGGAGAGGGAGTCAAATTGAGGGAATAGGAGCACATTGTGGCCTTGACAAGTGATGGTTACAGTTATACCATCCACAAACAGACTGTGGACCTCCCCTCATTATACCAGAGAGGCAGCCCAGGTCCACTGGTCAGTGAAAGGACATGGTTGAGTGCTGCCACAGTGGGTCCAGGCACCTAAGTGCCCACAGGGACATGAAGAAAGTATACCTGGCCAAAGTCTCAAGAGTCAAGCTGATGAGACTCAATCCAGATGAGCTTAGTCAAATCTCAGACCATCAGGTACCAGACTGTCATGTAATGAAGGTACAATAAAATAACAGACAGGTTGGAGCCCATGAGCAATGTAGGGTTTCAGATAGTTAAAGGTACCAGCATAAAATAGGAAATAACTGTTTATGAAATATGTAAATAAACAAAGGTTAATGATGAGAAAAAGAATGGGCAGAGAGCAACAGGAAATCAAAACTGCTCACAGTAAAGAATTGGATTTCCACTCCATACCACAGATGAAAATTAATTCCAAATGGTTGTATGTACTTGAATATGAAGAGGAAAATTGATATTTCTACAAGAGAATATAGAGCCGCATTTTTATGGGGGAAAGGGATGGGAATTTTGAAATAAGACGCAGTATGTGCAATTTTTAAAGAAAAAAGTCCAAAGCCAATTACATGTAGCTATATTAAAACTAGGAAATCTTACCCACCACAAGTCACCATCAAGAAAATGACAAAGTAAACTATGAGCTAGGTAGGGGGTCACTGGCAATGAATTATACTCCAGAATATATAAAATATCCCTACAAATGCGTAAGAATAAGACAAGTAATTAGAGTAAGGGCAAAAGGGGTATGAACAGGAGATAGGGTCATAACTACATCGAAGAGTGCCTATCTAGCATTCATGGAGCCATAGATTCTATCTCTAGCACCCATTAAACCCAAGTGTGGTGGCATATGTATGCAATCCCAGCACTTGGGATTGAAAGCAGGAAGAGAAGTAATTCAGGTTCATCCTTGGCTCCATGGCCAACCTGGGTATGAACAAGCATTTCACAGAGACAGAGTGGTGAGTGACAATGTGGAAAGATATTCAGCCTTGATGATCCAAAAAAATGCAAGCAAGATCACACACAGATAACACTGAGACCTTACTTGCCACACAGTAGGTGAGCAACCATCCATAGCAGGGTAACTCCAAGACTGAATCACTTGTTGTGCTCTCATCAGCTTTATCTGTTTTCACAAAGCCATAACTGTCATGTATCACAGAGCTACTGACAGGCCAACAAGTCTGCCTGAGCACACACAGAAGAGAAACTGTTCCACTTGTGTGCTGAAGACACATGCCAGGGTCATCATCACTGTGGAGCCCAGAAAAACCTGGGATGGGTCCAAATGCCTGCTAACAGGGAACAAAGCAGAATGCCATCAAACTACATGACAGTCACAGAGGGCAGTGTCACGGTGGGCAACGCACAGAACACTGGCCAAATGCAGCTCTGGATGAAGTTTAGAAAGCCAGGGAGAAGAACAAGGCAACGCATCTGAGGGAGTCTGTCATGGTGTATCCAGAGAAGACTGGGTCACTAAAGCTCTGACCTAGTCATTGTTTTAAACTTTTACTGAAGTCACAATATAATGGCATTATTTGGAGTAGGTGAAAGGCAGGAGGTAGGACATTTGAGGAACTGGGTCACTGTAGGTATGTCCTCATGTTTCATGTCTTACTCTTGCCCCATTCTCTTCCTGGAGCTTCTTTCTCTGCTTTTTGTCTGCAAGAAATGGATGTCCTCCATCCATGCTTCCTCAGCCTCGTTACTCTGCCCGCATGCGTAGGCCATGGACTGAACCCATGGAAACCGTGTGTTAATGCAACCTTTATTTTCCTTAAATTGTCCTGTTGGGGGGTTGTCAGAGATGAGACACACAACAGAAAATGTCCCTAGTTTGTGACACTTGAAACTCAACAATGACTAGAAAAGCAACCTAAATTATAGATGAGTTTCCTCCATATTTGGGGTCACACCAAAACCAAGATGGACTCACCTCATCAGGCATTCAGTCCTAAATGAGATGTCATCGTCAAACCCATCCCCAGAAGGCTCAGGGATCTATGTGGAAGAGGAGGAATAATTGTGAGAGCTAAAAGAGATGACAACAGAGTCTTGCAGATACAGCAGGACTGCATGGGAACTCAGAGACTGTGGCAGCATACATATGCACAGGTTCAAACTAGACGAGGCCTCAGCGCTGAGAGGGGGAGGCAGACAAGGACTACCACCCCTAATCAAGAAGCTATCTGCAACTGTTACTGGCTAGCAAAAGAAAATTCGGCTCTGTCAATGGAGTCAATAGGTATATAAACCATACTCTAGGGAAGGCCCCATGCAAAACATATTCCATGGTTTGACGCTATTGTTGGGTCTTGTGGCCTTTTGTTTTGTTTTATTTTGTCTCTGTCTTGGCATTTTGGTTTTTTGTTTCTTTGTTTATCTTTTTCCTGAGACAGGGTTTCTTTGTGTAGCCCTGGCTATCCTGGAATGTGTTCTGTAGACCAGGACGGCCTCCAACTCACAGAGATCCACCTGCCTCTGCCTCCCAAGAGTGCTGGGATTAAAGAAGTGTACCACCACCACCCATCTGATTTGGGATTTTTGTGGAGTTTTTTGGGTTTTGTTTTTGTAAGAGAGAGAAAGAATATAAAGTTGGGTGGGTAGGGAGAAGGGAAGGAGTTGAGAAAAGGGATAAACACGACCAACATATATTTTATAAAAAGAAATCTAATTAAAAAGGTGAAGATTTGAAGAGCAAAATTCTAAGAGCTTATAGGCTGTTACCAGAGAGGAAGGGGCTGCTCAGGGAGAGCTCCATTTATCAGCAGACAAACTATACTGAGAGTCTACTTGCAAAGCCAGAAATGGTGCATCTCCTTGCTAGCCAGTGTGCAAAGTCCTCATAACACAGAATTCATGGAGACTAGATCTCATAGCCATTTCACTGAGTATTCAGGTGCTGTTTGACTTGTACTGGAGTCTCAGAAAATACATGGTAAATTGCAAAAGCCTAAGTCAAACCATCACAAATTGGGGATCAATAAGACAATTCACATCACATATAAGCACACACATGTGTATACACACATATCTGTGTGTGTGCACGTGTATATTTACCTATTAAAGAAAGTCATGGCCCTAACTGTCAGGCTAAAGTATCCTGGATGAAAGCCTACTCCAGACCCACCTAATAATTCTTAAAATTGAGCCTTGAAAGGATATAAGTATATTTGTGTGACTTTTCTTTATCAGAGCAAACTCCTTTATAAAAACTAGCATTCAAAACCAACACTGTAAATTGCCCAGGATCCGCTAACACACATAAAAAGCAAGTGTGTATATAGGACCCACAACCAAGAGGAAAGTTACTCAACAGCAAAAAATAAAAAATTCCATAAAGGTAGAAGGAACAGAAGCAGGACGTATAAATGGCACTGACACAGCTGTAAAACAAGAAACACACCCGCTGTGAACAACAGTTTAGATAAGGCAGAGCGAAAGGGGAGCGGTGGTGATGACCTTTTAGAAACCAGCCAAGCCCAAGAAACAGTGAGATGGAAGAGGACACACAGCTGTCACTGAGGCAGGAGACCCTGAAGCCTGACACAGAGACCGTGGCTCTCAGGGCACAGAAGGCAGTGGCGTTTGAAAAGCCTGAGCCCACAGACACCAGAGGCCCGGTGAAAGGCAACAGAACTGCACCAAGCAAACAACCACACTGCTGGAAACATGGCGTGCACAAATGTGAACCGTGGGTGGAGGGATGGCACACTGAACGACAGGACAGGGTGAAGAGTGACAGCAAACTGGCCATCTGAAACTATGTCAGGCAGGATATAGTAGGTATCGTCCCAGCACGTCAACCCACGGTCCTGTGAGCAGTGACTTCTCCTGTGGAGAAGTGAAGAACACTTCAGAGAAAACAAAAGCTGCAAGACCTCGCACACCTGCAGATGGGCACCAAGAAGGACTAAGCAAATCCTTCAGGGTTAATCTGTGTGTGTAATACACGCATGTGTATGACACATGCACATAGATATTACACATGCATATATATACATGCATTACATAGATCTATTACACACATACATATATATACATATATATGTACACGTATACCAGACTGAACTTAGAATCTACTCAGAAATAAAATAATAGAAATTTCCTAGCATACTTTTAAAAGATGACTACTAGTTGGGCATGTTGTTCCAGCACTCCAGAGGCAGAGGCAGGAGGATCTCTGTGAGTTCAAGACCAGCCTGGTCTATATACATGGTGAGTTCCAGGACAGCCAGAGCAACATAATGAGACTCTATCTCAAAAAAATTAAAATCAAAAGGGGAGACTAAAAAACTCTCACACATACAAGACATAACAAAGGAATAGGTAAGTAATTTCAGTCAATAAATTCAACAACTTACATGAAACGGTCAAGTGTCTGAAAAAAACACAAAATACAAAAAAAAAGTCTCAAGAAGAATAAATGGCATGAATGGGTATATATTAGGGGGAAAAAGAAGGCCCTGGGTTTGCAGTAAATACTTAGAGAAGACTTCACTCCACTCTCAAACAGCTTCCCTGGTAAATTCTAGAAAATATCTGAAGGTAAAACAATGCCAGCAGTATATGCAATGGCACGAAGGAGCCAGGGGCCTAGCTGGGCCCTGATCACAAAGCAGACAGACACAGAGAAAGCTACATGCCTTGTGTGGGCTGACACACAGAGCGGAAGGATCACAACTCTTCAGGCCCAGGTGCAGATCAGTCAAGAATCCAAAACTGCCACTGAGTGGTGTGTGGCGACGGCATCATCATCACTGCATGAAGGAGCAGAGCAACTTCAGACTAATAAAGGAGCTAAGCTAGGCAGGCTCCCCTTACTGGGGTAAATGCCGAGGCACCAGCTAACACGGAGGAAAGGCTTGGCTCCCCTCACAGTTGCTTTAACCTATAGGAGGATGTGTGGTCGTGAACGGGTACACCCGTGAAGTAGGGTGTTCACTTCATCACTGAGATTGGAAGACGTGAGGTCAAGGTCCCACAAGCCCCTCCGGGAACAACCTCAATGTCTGATCAGGGCTCCTTCCCCTGGGTTCCATGTCTTCAAAGTTGTATAACCTACTAATAGAGACTTCCTAGGGACTGAATTTCCACATGTGGACTTTCAGGGAAGCTCATTTCAAACTGCAGCAAGCGCCTAGAAACACCTAATGCTAAATCCAGAGTTAATGGCAAAAGATGGAAGATGGGACAGCACAGGATTCTTGCACCAGACTGCCACACTTCAAAAGCCTGCCACTTGGTGAGCCAGGGGTGGAACTCTAGGATGGCCACATGTACCTGAAAGTATAAACGGTTGTGCCCCTTTCCATCTATTGCAATGAGCAAGGGCAGCTCCTCAGTAGGCCTGAACCAAAGCTCACATCTAGGAGACTGAATGCGGAGTGGATCTGAGTACCTAGCCGCCCTCTGTGCGCTCGGATAGTAAGGTCTGAAACAAAGGCAGATCAGTAACACTCCTGCCGCCAATTACTTTTTATGGAAAATAAAACTGCCTTCCACTGAAAAATGCTCTTTATGCAAAAACTGAACAGGTTATGGTTGTTCACATGAATTAATAAATACTTTTCAATTTCTCAGTGCTTTAACTCTAAAGTAGCAATAGAGTCGGCCATCTGTACCTTCAGGTTTTAACCCACAGAAACTGGAATTTGGGGGAGAATATTACATGTACCAAACATACATGATTTATCTTTATTAAATTTCTTTATTTTAGATACTTATGTTGCAGTGGGTGTTTAAAAAAGTTCAGAGGGAGAAACTAGGGGAGGCAAGGGGAAACCAAAATATAGTGCACATATATGGAAGTATAAAAAAACAAAATTTACTAAAGAAGACAGAGCAATGTCTAAATGATTCAAAGTCTGGTGAGGAGTGCTGGGCTCTGTGCAAACACTGTGCTTCTTTATAAAGAGGATCCCTGGGCGTTGGGATTCGAAGGAGGGCCTGGAACAACCATGCCATGGACACTGATTAGCCACTGTGGATTCCTCACAAAGGCTAACAGGTTTTAAAAGCACAGACAAGTTCAGAGACCAAAGTGGGTGTCCCCTGTCATTTCTAACACTCTGTAACCTAGCACTTTTTAGGAACTTAGTACCCTGAGCTCTGAGGGATGCCCTGTATCTTCCAATGGAGAGGGACATGGGGGTGGGGGTGGGGATCGTCTGCTGTCCCAGGAAGATACCCATCATCCCATTTCTTAAAATGTTTTCCAAAACCACCACCAGCATGTGCACAAATTTTCCCACAAAAATTTGATTAAATCTCCCTGGGAGGCATCTTCACAGGGCACCACTAGAGAACGCGGCCATGCCAAGCTGAAGCTGGGGGTAGAAAGAGTCCTGTGGCAGGACGCATCAGTAGAGGAACACAGTTCCATATGAAAACGCTTAAAATACATTAGATTTTTGGTCAAGATGAAAGACAAAAGGAAAAAAAAAGCAATCTATTCTAATTGGGTTCCCATGGTAACCGTACAATTGGGTTTTTCAATATAACCTCCCAAAGGCCCAATGCACACTTGTAAAATATACTTCCAACAGCCCGCATTGTTTTTACATTGCAGCACTCCCAGGAAGATCAATTACTATACATCCCCGCCCTAACTATTAGTGGCGGGAGACTTCAGCAGTACTTGCCACATTAACATAAGTCACGTACTGAACACTACCTATCAAGATGATTATGTGGGAGCAATCACGCACTTCAGGATCACTAAACACACCTTGAGTAATAAGCCAATAGGAACGCTATCCAAGAATCATGTTTACGAAATGCAAGAAATCAAGTCCAAGTACATACCAAGCCACTATACCCCCCTTATTGATTCCCAGGATAAACAGAATCAGTCATTAATAATTACATTAGAAAATGACCCTCGGGGTTAATAATATTCTTGCTGGCTCTCCCTGTGGAAGTAAACAGCAAACAGCTGCTAATATAAATAAATAAATAAATGATAACCAAGAAGAATTCAGATCCATATCTTAATATTC